GGGGCTTTCGGTGTTACACAGCTTTCTGGGGGCTCCTTTGGGTTACTTCGCCCGTCAGGGAACAATTTAAGGGGATTTTCAATTCATCTGGGGCCCATTAGGGGAAGTTCAGGGCTTTCAGGGAAGCTGTTCCGGGCAATCAGCCCAGGCAGTCAGGCTGCCAGGCGACCGTTAAGGAACCACCAGTCCTGTATTTTGAAAAGGATTTCCAACTCCCAGATATCCCCTGGGGGAGTCCCAGATGGAAGAGGGTATAGGCCAGGTGAGGCCCCCCCCCCCATGCGCGAATTTCATGCACCAGGCCTCTAGTGGTTAAATAATTTGCTCAAGAACACAAGTAAGCAGCAGAGCTAGGATTTGAACCCTGGCAGGATGCTATGTTGTCTCCACAGAGGAAGAACACAGACACCTCAGAGGGCTGGGAGGAAAAGACTGAAATTCAATTTGTAAAATCCATGCATTAAATGACAGCCATCCCAGCTATATTCAATCTTTCCTCAAGATTCACCTTATATTACAGAACTGACATGAAATCAAGTGTGGGTCAGGAAGAAAGTAAGGGCACCTGCTTCTTTGTGATTGAGGTCAGCCGATTGAGACCCCTGCACAGCAGGTGCATCTGCCCCTTCTCCCATTTCCTCTCTTCTACCTCCCTCCAATGAACAGATGGTAGACCCAGCCCTGAAACGAGTGGGTGTGGGGGTGAGTCAGCCTCACAGCAGGGCCACTGGCTTCCTTTTCCTGCCATGGGGGCAACACCTCTTCCTCCCCGGGCTGCCATAGCTAGGCTTGCCTCTCTGCCTTCCTTTTTAGACCCACACGGAAGCATCTGAGAGCCCAGAGCTCAGAGAGAGGCAACAGCAAGTTGGGGAAAGAGGCTTCCAAGGTATCCCTCTGTCATCCCCCCTCAGGTGGGGGCTCATCTTCCAACTCCCCATTCTTTCCACCCCCACCCTCCTGCCCCCTTCAACCCCAGTGTGCACTGGTATGTGAGAATGATTTCATCTTTAATCTTTCAAACAGTATTTACATTTTTAAAGTATCTTTTATTTTTAAAGTGTCTTCTGGAGATATTATGCCAATGATGAACTTTCAGACATAAATAACATTTTAATTTATAGCAGGCTTTGCAGGGGCCCTTTAAATAACTCCTGGAGGCCAGGGTGTGCTAGGCCTCCACATAAGCGGGGTATCAGCACACCCAGTTTCCATTCTTTATTAGTGTTGTCCCTTTACACCACTAATAAAGGGCACCAAAATAATTTTTATTTCATATCCTGATTCCCTCATCCCTGACACCCCCACCTCCAGAATTTGAATCATATTATTTATTTTCCTAGAACAAGTAATGCGTCAGTAGAAAAAATAAACAGGAGATGCTCCTGTGAGATAATAACCATTGCTGATGATCCGGCAGGGGCACGAGGGGCTAAAAGGTGGCACATTCTCTGACTGGGGCTTTGATGACCTCTCACTAGCTGTCCCACTGCAGGACAATGTCCTCTGCTGTGGGAGGGGGCGCCTATGGGAACCCAGAATGACGTGAAGGGTGACCTAATGGAAATAACTTTTTAAGTTGCGTTTTCTGAATAGAATAGGTTTTTCTCATGGCAGTAATTTGATATCTCCTACATTTAAATGAGATAAACCTGACAGAATACCGACCCCTGTGTCTTCCATTGTTTTGAAGTCAGTGTTAGGAGCCTCTGGGAAAGCTCTTTCATCAGCCCCTTGGGAGGTCGCGATGATCTGGCATTTTCTATTATCACTAACTCGAGCCCAGTGTAGCTGGCACTGGTTCTCAGAGAGGTTTCCAGTATTTTTATCTGCTCTTCGTGTCCTGGGACTATTTCCAGAACTCAATGGTTTTTAGTTGTAGACATTTTATCAGTGGAATAAAGACCTCTAAAGGTCTCCTCCTGAAAGGGATGAAATGTTAGTTACTAGAGAAAAGGACAGGAACAATGTTATTTTGCCTCAGCCCCTCCCTATCACAGTGTCTAATTATCATCTGTTCACTTGGAGTAAATAAATCTCCATCAATGGGTGAGGGTAATGAGGGCATTCGTTTATAAGCAAGCGAGGGATGAATGTCTTCCCCAGGGGATGACTGAAACAACGAAGAGCCAGGTGGAAAATTAGTATTGATGTGAGTGAGATGTGGAAAGATTCAGCTCTACAGGGGGAAAAAGCAAGCAAGGTGTTGAGTGGTTTTTGTTAGACAACAACTGCTTTGCTAACTTATTATATACACTAGAGACCCAGTGCATGAAATTCATGCATGGCTAGGGTCCCTAGGCCTGGCCAGTGATCAGGGCCGATTGGGGCCTTGCTTCCCCAGCTGCCGGCTGCCAGCTGCAGGCCGGGGCCTTGCTTCATTCTGCACCGCCTCTTGGTGGTCAGTGCACGTCATAGTGAGTGATCAAACTCTCAGTCTCCCGGTTGAACTTCTGAGGGGACACTTTGCATATTAGCCTTTAAAAAATATATATATATATTATTGATTTTTTACAGAGAGGAAGGGAGGGGGATAGAGAGTTAGAAACATCGATAAGAGAGAAACATCGATCAGCTGCCTCCTGCACACCCCCTACTGGGGATATGCCGGCAACCAAGTTACATGCCCTTGACCGGAATCGAACCCGGGACCCTTCAGTCCGTAGGCCGACGCTCTATCCACTGAGCCAAACCAGTCAGGGCATATTAGCCTTTTATATAGAGAGATATTTGGTTTACAATATATATCTTTAGAAAATAGTCGAGCTTTTCTTGAACTTTGTCCCATCCCCTGGTGTGAGGGTTCAGTTGGTTAAGCATCTAGATGCCATCTCACCAATTCACAACTGTGGTCCTTGCTGGTTATTTTCGGTAGCTGTACATTAATATTCTGCCTCACGAATAGTGTAAAGATGTGGGTGGCTCTTCTGAATGAAGCCAGCTCACTCATTTTGTCCTAAATGAATCCTGATAAAAACGAGACTTTCTTCCTCCAAGTTTTAATTAGTCTTTAAAACTCTGCCCTTTATTCAGCTCTGGCAACTGGAAATCCTATTGAATCAGACCCTGTAGCCTTGAAAACCCCCATAGAGCTACGTCATTAATGAAGCTGGAGCCATGCTGCCCTCGCACCAGATTTCAGAGTTAACTAAACACACATGGATTATAGAAGAAAATGGTGCCCACCTTTAGCAATAGAACTTTGGTTAAAGCCACCAACGTTACATGAACTCTCGCTTCTCCTTAAGGCTAGTTATCCCCAGGAGTGAAATGTAGCACCCAGAGAGCAGTCCCCAAAAGTAAGGCTTCCCTACGGGTGGGTAGTCTGCTGTCCCTGGCTTTATAGGACTTTTCTCGTTGCCACCCCACAGTGCCAAGGTGTATAAGACAACTGACCTTAACAGCTGTGTACAGCATTTCAGTGTGTAAACTCTGTTGTACAGTTAGGGGGAGTTGCAGGTATGGTCCCATGCTGGGCAGCCAACCTAGCATTGGTGGTGCAGAGCCCTAAAGCAGGGGTCCTCAAACTTTTTAAACAGGGGGCCAGTTCACTGTCCCTCAGACCGTTGGAGGGCCGGACTATAGTTTAAAAAAAAACTATGAACAAATTCCTATGCACACTGCACATATCTTATTTTGAAGTAAAAAAAAAAAACGGGAACAAATACAATATTTGTATTTGCATGTGGCCCGCGGGCCGTAGTTTGAGGACCCCTGCCCTAAAGTGTCCTGCGGCCTCATTCCCTTCTATCTCCACAGGCCTTGATCCTTAGAAACGCTCCTTCTCCTGTGGTTCTCACCCTTTCTTCTGATCTGGAGCTTATGCCAAACTGCCTTGCAGCTCCCTCGATCTCTGCAGAGATGACATCTTCCCCAGCACGGCCCTAGAGCCTGCCTGTTTGTTCTGAGGTTACATGTGCAGCTGGGCAGGTGTCCATCTCTGCTAAGTCAGAACCCCCGATTTATTTCTCACAACATTTCCATCAGCACAGTCCAGGTCTAGCATCCCATAGCTGTGTTCTTTCTGCTCCCTTTCTGTCCCCTCATCTGCTTACCCCTAGAACAGGTAAATTCTAGAAATCCCAGAAGGGACAACTGCGACCCCTTGAGCTTACCTCTTTTACAGTTGAGCTGATGGGTGCTCTATTTTTAGAAACTTCCTCAACTTCTCATAGCCAATTGGTTACAATAGAGCTTCCTGTTGGCAGGACGCGGGACTGCAGGGCCCCCGGTGGTCATCTACCCAAGCAGCGGGACATGAAAATATCAGCATTCTAAATGTACACCGTGATGTGTGAAAGGTTGGGAAGTACCACAGAGAATAAAGTCTGACTCCCCATAGAGTCCTCTAACTCATCCTCTCCCAGGTCCATCAATGCTTGCTGCTTCTATTTCTCACTAGTCCCTCTTCCAAGTTTTTTTTTGTTTTGTTTTGTTTTTTAAATCCTCATCCGAAGGTATGTTTTAATGATTTAGAGAAGAGAGGAAGGGAGAAAGAGAAACATTGATGTGAGAAAGAAACATCAATCGATTTCCTCCCATACATGCCCCAACTAGATATTGAACCCACAACCTAGTTATGTGGCCTGACCGGGTATTATGTGTCATAACCTCCTGGTTCATAGGTTGATGCTCAACCACTGAGCAACCCTGGCCAGGCAATCCTCCTTTCTATTTGGACCACAGAGGCTATCTTTTAGAAAGGAATGGACATCATTTTTTTCAGTATGTGACAGGTAATTTTTCACATTTCACTCCTCCAGAAATGGTTTAAGCAGCGCCTGGCCCAGTGGCGGAAGTCGGAAGGCCTACCCTCAGAAAGCAGATCCGTTACGGACTAAGGAGATGGTGGGCATTGGCAGCGTCCCTCCATGAAGACCACCTGCTGTTTCTCTCCTCGGCTTAACCAAGCTGTTTTGGTTTGTCAGTGTAGTGTTGTATGTTCGCTGTTAGCTGTCCTGCTATTTAACACAATGTTGTATTTTTTTAATGTACATAACTAGAAAATACAATAACAATAGGAAGCTATGTGCAGCTTCTGTGTAAAGCAGTGGCTTGACTAGGCGAGTGATGTGGCTTGCCTTTCCCTTTGGGTCATGATGACAGATGGTATGAAAATCATCTAAGTTTGCTTTTGATCATCACCTCCCAATAACAATTTACTTTCAACATCCATTTCAGAGCAGGCAAGGGCTCTGTTGAAAAGATAACGTGACCAAGAGGGAGAAACATTCCTTCTGAATCTACTTCCCTAAGTTGTTTTCCTTGTGTTTCATTGAATACAGTGAAGTTGAATGAGAATACAGAGGAATATTTGAGTCATTCCGATTTCATTAAGTAGTTCCTTGGATTAAAGCTGCATTAACTTAGAAAGAACCCAGTTAGGCTAAAAGACAGAAACTGCACAAGTAATAAGACAGAAAAGCAAGTAACTAAGAAAAAAAATCTACTAAAGTATTTGATTTACATTATTTAAATGCTTTTGTTAAGTTTATTTTGCTAGCCAAAGTGAACTGCTTTTTGTCTCTAAAATGATATTCTAAATAAAACATTAACTTTTTGTTGAAAATGCACTGAGTCCTCTGAATTTTTTTTTACTGAATAATAAGCAGATCAAAGAAAAACAGAATGCCTCCACCATAAGAGCAGACTGACAAAAGAGCTGTCATTTTCCAGATTCTTGCTACTCAAAGGGTGGTCTGGGACTGGCATCAGCAGCATTAGCTGCAAGCTTGTGAGAAATGCAGAATTTCAGGCTCCAGTGCAGACCTACCAAATTGGAACCTGCATCTTTCACAAGGTCCCCACGGGGTGTACATGCACATGAAAGTTTGAGCAGTACTGTTCTAAAGACTCTGCAGCACATTTTCATCCATCCTATATAATAAAAACATAATATGCAAATTGTCCCCTCTACCAAGAGTTCGTCTGGGAGTTTGACCAGGGAGCAGGGCCAGCCAGGGGAAGGGAGGGAGGCCCCAGTGGTGGTGGCAGGCGGCAGGCGGCCACTAGGGACCCTACCAGTGCACAAATTTCATGCACTGGGCCTCTAGTTTTCTATAATAGCACATGAAACGTTTTAACAGTCTATTAATTAAGGTTGTGTTTGACTGTGTGAACAGAAACTTGATTACAGTGAATTAACCAAATAGACTTTTTGTCTATTTCTTTAAATGATTATTGTTTTTACATAAAACACCAGCAGGTAGGTGGCTCCCTAATGTTGTCAAGGACCTATGGTCATTCTTGTCTTCCTACTTTGCTATCTTCAGCATGTGGCTCTTGTGTTCATGGATGCAAGATGAATGCTTGGTCATTGAGTCTGCATGTCAAGGGGGAAAATAAAGGAAGAGAAAAAGAAAAAGGCCAATGCCAACTAGACTCTCCCCTTTAAAAAGTTTTCCTGGGAGCCCCCTACCCAGCAACTTCAACCTTCATATTATTGGCCAGAATTGGGTCACATGGCCATTCCTAATTCAAGTGAGTGTGGTAAGGTGAGTATTTTTTTAATTTATTTTTAAATATATTTTTATTGATTTCAGAGAGGAAAGGAGAGAAAGAGAAACATCAATGATGAGAGAGAATCATTGATTGGCTGCCTCCTGCACACCCCACACTGGGAATCAAGTTCGCAACCCAGGCACGTGCCCTTGACCAGAATCAAACCTAGGACCCTTCAGTCCACAGGCTGACGCTTTATCCACTGAGCCAAACCAGCTAGGGAGGTAAGGTGAGTATTTTAAATTGGGTGTATTGCTGCCTTGAGTAAAATCAGGGGGGGTTTTTGGTAGGAAAGAAGCAGGTGGAGTGGATATTGGAAAAGCTATATGAGTGTCTGCCAACCCAGCCTGGAATGACACTAGAGGACACTTCTGAACTCTTACCTACACAGTCTTTTCAGTTCTTTAAAATAAAAAGTCCAAAATAAGAAACACTAACAGTTACCCAGAATACAAATGTTTACAAGGTCTCCTTAAACATCCTTGATACACTTCCTCTTCCTCTACCTTAAAACATTTCTCCTATAAACAATACACAGTGAACTAGGATCTGAACGGAACAGCCTCATCTGCCACCCTCCCTTGCACCATCAGTAGTGGTGGTCTGAGCATCTGTCAGCAGCCAGGGCTGGATACTGACATCACTTTCTGGAAGGAAAGAAGAGAGAAGGTGACAACGAGACAGGAATGTGTGCACATCCTGACTAACAGATAAGGAGGAAGAACTGTGCTGCTAACGTGACTGTGGGCAAAGTGGACACAGAGCTTGGTGATTTGTCCATGTCAAGCAATGAGAGAGATGATAAACCAGGTCTAAGACCCTTGTCAGAAGACTTTCTAGAATAACAGAGACATAATTCAAGAACAATCCATCCAGGACAAGAAGAGTTGACCAACTGGGCAGAGAGTGTGCCTTTATCTTGGTGCTGGGAAGAACTGTTTATGACAGAAGGATCACTTCCTGTGCTTATCATGCCAACAGCCACGAATCCTCGAATGGCCATGCTGGGAGGAAATGAGGACTCATGTCCATTCATTTATTCTAACAAGAGCCAAGTTTTTATTCACTCATTTCTTGCATTTGATGATATCTTTAGCCTGAGAGTTTTTACCAGAACGCTTAACTACCACACAAGTGCAACCAACCACTTTAAGGGGTTTTCCCTTTCTGTCGATTTTTCAGAGGACCCACCCATCTCCCTAGTTTTTTGTTGTCATCAATATTAATGAGTTGGTTTGGGGGCTCCACCAACCTGATATACACAGGGTCATCACAGATAGAAGCAAGCTCACTCAGATGGTTTGGCCTTTGTCTCTAGGCGTTGGCAGCTCCTCGAATTCCATGTTAGGCCATCATGGATGAGGCCGGTCTTCCACACCTCTTGTAAAGTAGTATTGACATCCATTACCCCTCCAGCGGCAGTGCCTCCCTCAGCCATGGCCATGGTGGTGGGTTCCAGGTGGGTAGCAGGTGAGTTACAAGTGGAGCCAAATCCTGAATGTCCCTGAGCTGCTGCTTCTGTGCGGCTGGGCAGCGGCAAGGAAAGAATCAGTGCCTTTTAAATGTGAATTTGTTAACAACCTTCTTGAGTTTACTTTTTCAACTGTAGTGCAAGGGTAGCAATACTCTACTTGTAAAAAGGCACTTTGTAGAGAGTAATAATAATTACTATTGCTACAAAGTTCTAACGAGGACAGGGTGAGGTACACTTTGACTCCTGAGATAAGTCTTAAGGAGAACCCAGAGCTCTTTGAGTTCTGTTATCAGGAGCCTCTTCTGAACACTCAACGTCACACACCAGAGTGATAATACCCACCCCAGACTGAGAAAAACTCTGCACAGTCTCTCTTTCTTTGCCTTGTGTTGTCCAAATTTTACCATTGCAGACACTGTTGCTTAGGCTGATATTTATCTCCAACCCCTTGCTCTGTCACCACCTTTCTCTATTCAAGGTTGTAGAGGCTGAAAAGCTGGAATACTCCCTCCTCCATCCTCACATGGAAACTGTGGAGGTCATGTGACATGATCTGGCCAAGGACATTTAGGTTGAAGACTTGTGGGAGTGAGGGAGGCTTTGGAGAAGGGTTTTGCCTTTCTTGGTAAAAAGTACAGAGGCAGTGCCTGGCCAGCGTGGCTCAGTGGTTGAGCTTCAACCTATGAACCAGGAGATCACAGGTCACAGTTCGATTCCTGGTCAGGGCATGAGTCCGGGTTGAGGGCTCATCCCCAGTGTGGGGTGTGCAGGAGGCAGCTGATCGATGATTCTCTCTCATCAGTGATGTTTCTATCTCGCTCTCTCCCTCTCCCTTCCTCTCTGAAATCCATAAAGATATATAAAAATAAAGTACAGAGGCTGCAGTCTATGTCCTTTTCTCCTTTCTTGACTTAAACCAGTGTAATTTAATTGTAGAACTAGAGATAAGCAAAAAAAATATGACATACAATACTAGCCATAAAAATTACCCATGACCCCACCAGCCAGAAGTAACCTTAATATTAAACTTAATTAGTATAGTATTATACTGAGAGGAGGCATGTTTTTTACTTAATTTTTAATCAGAGGGTTCCATGACCCTCTTCTTGGGTTTGATTAATTTGCTAGAACAGCTCACAGAACTTAGGAAAACAGTTTACTTATTATAAAGGACATGACTCAGGCACCGCCAGATGGAAGATAAGGGGAAAGGGGTGTGTAGCTTTCCCACCCTGTCTGGGCACCCACCCACATGTTCACCAGCCCAGAAGTTCTCTGAATCCTGTACCTTAGGGATTTTTATGGAGGCTTCATTATGTAGGCATGATTTAGGCATGATTGACTAAATCATTGGCCATTCAGGATTAAACTCAATTTCCAGCCTCTGGCTCCCCTATCTGGAGGTCTAGGGTGATGGGAGTGGAGTTGAAAGTTCCCACGCTCTAATTCAGTGATTTTCCGTTTAGATGCACCACACATGGTGTATGGCCAGAATTTTAAAAACATGAAATACCTGACCATTTAGTTAGGGGCACTGACCTCTTTTCTTTAGATTGTCAAATTAAAAAATGACAACAGCTAACACAACAATAGTCTGGTGTGAATGAATCAAAATCATCCCTATTTTTTGTCAGATCAGCAAAAAATGTAATTTTTGATGTGCTGCAGAATGTTAGTAATTGGCTTATGTGTGCCATGAGATGAAAAGGGTTGAAAATCGCTGCTCTAATCACAAGGTTGGCTCCCTTGGCAATCAGCTCCCATCCTGTCTAGGGGTTTTCCAAAAATCACCTCATTAACATAAACTCAGGGCTGGTTGAAAGCAGTTGTTATGAATAACCAGACCCTCCTTTCACCTTCATCATTCTGGAACTATTTCAGAAACTGGAGCTATATGAGGGCAAAATACCAAATATTAAAACAAAAGGTACTCCAGCTCTCTTATTACTTAGAATATTACAGGGCTTTCAGGAGCTGTGTAGCAGGAGCAGAATGCAGATCAAATATATGGATTTCTTATTCTAAATCACAACATCACAGATGGAAAGATTCTTCCTAAAAATAAAACTGGCTCTTTTGTTTATAACAACACCTTGATTTGTTGAGGGTTTTGTAGGGTGTTTTTGTTTGTTTGTTTTTGTTTTGGGGGCGTTCGCTTTGAAGCAAGTCTAGTAGGAGAAAAAAAATGAAGAATTCAGTGGCTGTGCACAAAAAAGCAGCAGGAATTTAGGATTGTGTCGCGTGGAAGCTCAGGCAGGAGGATATTTGAGGTCCTTGGACACTTAGGGAAGGGATGGAAGAGAATGATCTGCAAAGGTCATGGGTCAAAGGTAAGCTGCCCCAGAGGCAGGTGGAGTTGGCACAGGGACTGTAAAATGTCAAATATTCTATTTTATTTTACTTTAAAATATATTTTTATTTCAGAGAGGAAAGGAGAGGGAGAGATAGAAACATCAATGATGAGAGAGAATCATTGATCGGCTGCCTCCTGCATGCCCCACACTGGGGATCAAGCCCACAACCCAGGCATGTGCCCTGACTGGGAATCAAACTGTGACCTCCTGGTTCATAGGTTGATGCTCAACCACTGAGCCAC